TATATATATATATGTATTTGATATACAGCGTTGCTTGTGAGCACGTGTGTTTAAGCTGCGCATATATTTGCTTTTGCCGAGCAGGCGACGGAAAAATCTACGCGATTTGTTGACTAAATTTGCGCTAAAAATGTAGAACACCGCAGATACCTACGCATAATTGTAGATTTTAGGCGAAAGTTTATCGAACGAATGATATTTCTTTAAGCTTCTACAAAAGTTTCAGTTTGTTCTCACACTCTGTGCTCGAAATATTATTATTATTTTTTTTTTATATAAACTAATTTTTTCATGTTTTCGTCATTTTTTTGTTTTCATTATATTTTTTTTTTTTTAAATATTATTTTTGTTTTTTGAAATTTCATAAATTTTTTCCAAATTGTGAAAGTGTGTTATAGTTGCTCATCCGCACTTTGCCACCTCTAAAAGGAAAAAAAAATCAATGAAAAATGTCTACTTCCCATTCACTCCATCAATCGTTAGAGCCACTGAGCTGTCAGCTATCGCAGTCAATTTCTGCTGCTGTTACTCTTCGCTCACTATCTTTTATATCTACACTCATTTATTTTCCATTTGGAATTTTTTCATATGCTTACAGTACACACACACATACAAACATCCATTAGCACTCACTCTTTGGCGCATCAGCGCGCCGAAAAGCCTGCTACAATAATTTTTTCTTCCTTTCTTTTTTGCTCACTTAATATTACTCTCTGAGGAAATTAGTTAGTGTGCTGCAAGCGCACGCATACCTACATTCATATTAAAATGGCAGTTCATAAAATTTTATTTATATTTTTTCATATCTTGTTTTTTTTTTTATTTGTTATTTATTGTTTCCTCCTTTATTTCCACGCACACAAACATAAATATTTTTATATTTTATATCGCATGTTGGCAGCTTTTTCGCCTTGTTGCTCACTCAACTGAATATAAATATACTTGTTTTTGCCCCTCCCACTTCCCACTTGGCCCGCCGCCCGATTTGGCAGTTTGATGCCTTTTGTGCTAATTTCAAATGAAAGCACTTATTTATTTTGCAATATATTCCAACTCGCTCCCCAGTGGCTGCGAGCGCAAAAGTTAATATGACAGCAGCGAAATTGCTGATTTTTTCTCATGTGCGTATGTATGCGTGTGTATGATTTTTATTTATTTTCGGCTTATTTTTTATGGATTCTTTTTATATTTTATACGCCTCAATTTTATTTGCAACTTTGAAGCGCGCTTTGTGGTTGCAATTTATATTGTTTGGATGCTTTGAGTTCAGTTTTTAATTAGAAGTTGTTTACACAGAGCGAATTTTTTTTTTTTTGGAACAATTTGTCATGTGTGAGTGCTGAAAATTTGGAGGAAAAATTATTTCAATTTTTTATTTCATTTATTTATTTTTTTTTCAATTTTCAAAAGTTAAATTTAGCTGTTAAAAAATGAATTGAAAAATGTCTGAAGCACCCTGTTCTCAAGAGCGTAGGCAATTAAACTCAAATAAATTAGAATAAAACCTGCATTTTTTGATATTTAGAACCATTTTTTCGTGGATTAGAAGATTTTAGACTTAAATATATTATTTTATTTTATTTTATTTTAGAGATATTTGTTAAATTATTTTTGTGTTTTGTTTCATAAATATTTTTTAGTTATTGTTATGTTATTTTTTTCTCTTTAATATCGACATAAAATATAAGATTTAAACCTGTCTCTTATACACATC